TTGTGAGACTCCTCTTTTTGGTTTCTGCTTCTTAAATTGATCTGTCTTGATTTCTTGAGTTTGTTGTGTGAACTTCTATGGTAGGAGACCGCTGTTTTTTCTTTCTGGATCTGCCTCTGATGATGTCAGGTGTTGACCCTGTGTGACCTTAGGCAGTCTGTTTGAGACTTCCAGGAATCTATTGACTGTGACTCTCTCCTTCAGCTGCTAATCTAGTCACTCTTCACTTAGCAGGCCGGCTTAGAGACACCACGGGGCGGGGCAGAGTCTCTCCTGGGGCCGGGGTTATTGGGTCCTCTCATGGTGCTGCCGCTCAGGGGCATAGTCTGCCTGAGCCAGATGGCTGCTGCCTTATTGGGGAGGAGTCAGTACCGGTATCCTACTGGATACTTTTCTCCATTCTCTCCCCAAAGCCTCCTTCCCCATTCTCCCCTTAGGGGTCTCCAGCCCACCCTGCCCCCCCGCACCTCCACTGAAGCCCCGGATAAGTGGCTGCAAATAAAAATTTATGTGTTGGCCCTTTAAACAGCTCTTTGAGTCTCCAGCCCCCTGTCTCTGGCAGAGAGCAACCGTGCCACTTTTCGCAGCTGGCTGCTATCTGTGTACTTTCTGGACTCTGTTGCTGTAGGCTGGAGGTCACCGCTTGTGGCTGAGACCCTGCTATTCTCAGGGGGATCCAACTGGCTGTGTCAATATCCTTCTGTTGCTGCTGCCTGTGGGTGCTCCACCCAGCTTCTTGAGTCTCTACCGTGCTTCTTACCAGTTAGGTTGTGCTAAAGCCGATTCTTCTGTCTGTCCAAGGTTATAAGTCTCCTCTCTCATTGCTGTTCAGTTGTTTGTTCCAGGTGATTTCTCCACAATTTAGTTATAATTCCAGATTGGTCCTGGGAGGAGGTCAATGTGACTTCTACTCACTCCTCCACCATCTTGATTCTCCCTAAATTTGTCATTTCTTAAGCAACAAATCAACTTATGGTTCTTGATCTAAAACATTTTAATCATAATGGTTATCATTTCTGTCTAACTGCTCAGTAAGGTTTAACTACAACTTATCCATGAAAAAGTTCATTCTCAGAATAAATGTTTGCTAGCCACCAGAAAATGTATGCCAGTTATGATTCTGTTTCACCTCCACTCTTTTATGTCAGAAATTATCTGACTTCCACAAAACCAAATCATTGATCAGGCAAAACGTTTTACGAATCTAGTCACTGGCATTTTCACATGTGCTCAGTGGTACTCATATTTACTTCCTAAATCAAAGAAAACTACCTAATAGTCACAGCAATTTTACTAATTTTAAATGAAGCTAAAAGTACCCAACTCTAGTACTCAGTGTACAGAGATGATGTGGATGAGGATGTGGTGGAGGTAGACTGGCAGGTGGGAGGCTAGAGAGGCACAAAAACTGTGTCTGAGCCTTCCTCAGGGCCACAGTACAGTGGAGGCACTTGAACACAAAAAGTGTAAGAAGCCATTAGTGAAAAGCCCAATGTACTTAGGTATTAATGTACATAGCGTGAGACAGTAAGCACTAGAGGAAATAAGAGAATGGGGGTGGAAATCAGGGTGGGATTTGAAATGGCCTCAGACAGTGAGATGGTTTTAATAGGATGGAAAGGAAGATAAAATCTTGTTCATAAGGAGAATCATGAAGCCGAGAGAGAGAGAAAAAACAGAACAGACCCCAAAGTACCAGGCTTGTAAGGGCCATGTGAGCCACAGCACTCCCGTCTCTGGTCATGGCAGATAAAACATCACTTCATAAGTATTCTGAGGACTAAGAATTTTTCTTTTGTTTTTTAAAATCAATGTTTACTTCATGTCTCTCAGGTTTTATTTTTTCCTTCACCCTTACGCAAGTACACCCCACAAACAAATCCCTCCATAAGACTCATTTTCAGATAACACTTAGATGTCCTTACGAGTTGACCAATATCAACACATGTCCTACTCAGAACTGTACAAATGTATCATCACTATCCACATATATATTTTAGTAAATTATCATTCTGAATTTGTTTGACAAAACTTCACATAAAGTTCTATTTTTTTCATAGTGAACTACTATTATTTAACTAGTAACTGTGGTATTGCAAATCATCACCCAGCATGTATTTTGCTCACTGTATGACCCATTAGCTGGCCAACTTGTTATCTTTTTTCTATACTAAATAAAACATTTTTCTCTAATCTAATTTGTTCCCTCTGCCTCTAATAATACAACAGTAATTCCATTCCTATACTCCCTGAAAACACAGGGACAGAGAGAATCTGTGAAATTGCTAAGACATTTTCCTTATTCAGCTAACTAAACAGTTATTAAAATTACCAAGTCAAGCTGGCAAGAAAGCACAGTGTAAATGGCCTTACTTGATTAGAAAATGGGAGTCTACCAAAAATAATTAACAAAATCCACTTAAATGGTGACAATCATAGTTACTGAGATGAGGATCAAAAATGAAATTCAAGTTACTTATTCTTTGGAAAAACTTCTCCAAAACAGAAAATAACACTTGCTTGTTCAGTCTTGGCCAGCAAAATGTCAGTGAGTTCTTTGCCTTTCCTAGAATATTTGTGCCTGGTATCCTCAGAGAGGTAGTTATAGGCAAAAAGGACAAAGGAGTTTTTATCAGTTTCAATCATTTGATTTTACAACCACTTAAACATCTCTGTTCCTTGTCTCTGGGATAAAAAAAATAAAGACACTAAATTAACTGTATCTTGTTTCTTTGATTTGTTTGCTTCTTAAGCAACTTTATGTCAGGGCTAGAAATACAACTTTGCATTCTAGGTTGCAAAACTTGAGGTGACTTTGTTACTCTAATTACCTAAAGAAGAAGACATACTTCATGCTCAGAGAAACTTGAGATAACCTTTAGCTTCCTCCAAGCACACTACAAGAAAAATATGTCAACATGGATTGCGATTTTTAGTCATCTGATTAACTTCTCACGTTAATTTGAGCCAAATCATATGCAAGAGGCATCATTCTGAGGATTACATTTATTTGTCCTTTAGCTGGGTAGTCTATTCATGCTATCAAAGCATCATATTTTTAGGCACAATTTGAAACCATTCTTCAGTGGAACACAATTTGGCAGTAGCAGCACACTAATGGTCAATTTCATTTCCATGGCAATCCTTACTTTTCAGGAAAGAACTAAAGAACATTAATTTTTCCATATGTATCTCTAACAAATTACAAAAAGTGAATATTTGTGAAAATTCTCAGGCTTGTTGTAAACTGAAGTCTCTTAAATTTGGTGAGAAAAGAAAATGTTAAGGAATATAATTTAACCATTATAATTAACATGGAAGTTTCTGAAGACAATTCAGTATGCACAAAAATGTACATAGTAGGTTATGTTCTGGCACTGGAATTAGTAAGAAGGTGGCAGGGGAGGCTTTTATTGTCAAGTAATGGGTTGGCCAAAAAGTTCATCTAGTTTTTTTCCATACAATGGCTCTAGTAGCATTTAGTTGTCTTTAATTTCATTCTAAACAATTTTGTTAGATTTTATTGTGACAGTTGTCATATCAGTGTACATTTAAAAAAAACTTATCAAAATTGGTGAACTTTTGTGCAGCCATTTTAATACTGAAGATGGAAGAAGATACACAACATTTCTGACATTTTATGCTTTATTCTTTCAAGAAAGGTAAAAATACAACTGATAAGCAAAAATGATTTGTATGGTATATGGAGAAGATGCTGTGACTGACTGAACATTGTCCAAAGTGGTTTGCAAAGTTTCTTGATATTACTGACATTTTGGCCAAATAATTCTTTGCTATGGGGCTGTCTTATGCACTGGAAGATTTTAGGCGGTGCCCCTGACCTCTGCCCATTAGAAACCAATAGCAGGAGATAGCCAACATACTCAAAATATCCAAATGAATAAAGTTATTGGTGAAAATGAAAAACGTATCTTTTCTTTTACAGAAAAACTAAAGGGACTTTTTGGCCAACCCAATATTTCAATATTGACTGTTGGTTTGTTTGTTTATAAGCACATAGTGCTTTTTAAATTAATAAACAAAGAATCAATGAAGTTTTTTAAAAACTAAGGCAGCTCAATTCACAGAAGACAGGGCTTGGACAATAACAGCATCAGGTAGAGAAGCGCTGAGGTTAAAAAGGAAGTGCCAAGATCAGGTTCCAGGAGAGCAAGGGAGAAGTAACCAGAACCTCCAAATAGACTGAGGTAACTGTAGGTTACCAAGTGTCCAACACCAGTGTATGGGGTTCTTGGAGGAAGAATGTTCTTCCCACCCGTCACTAGCCTCAAAGTTCCTGTGAGTCACTCCGCCACAGGTCATAATCAGAAAGGCTTCACACAACAATCTAGAGTGCCGCTCATAGCAGGAGCTGTGCTGAGTCCTCTGCTGGCAGTGACTGAGCTCCAAAAAACAGCACCTGCCACTGCACCAGAGAGATAGGTGTCAGGACACACCTAGTCCTGCAAACCCTTCTCTGTGAGCTCACACACAGTTCAAATCCTCTATCATGGCAGTCTCCTAAAAAGATGCATGCCAAAATCCTCCACTGCTTCCCAGCAAGTCTCAACCTTAAGGCTCTAAGGCACTCAGGGAAAAAAACCCAAATTCTTCTTCAAACAAATCTCACAAGACATAGGAGGCATTTGTGTCCATTAAATCAGCCAGAGAATAGCACTTGTATTCAAGATAAAACACACACTTGGAAAGAAAAGTTATATGTTGTGTGTGTGTGTGTGTAAGAGAGAGAGAGAGAGATGCCTAGCTTTGCATACATACATATATATTTATATTTGCATATATATGCAAAAAATACCATTTAAAAAAATCAACTCATGAAAGAATGCCTGAAAAATATAATGACATAACTAACTTTCCATCAAATAATGTCATCTTTTCATCCTTTAAAAATCCTAGGTTAAACAATAAATCAATAGATAAGAAATAATTATAAAGATCAACCACATAGTTCTATTTACAGAAACTTACAAGTTACCTACCTGAAAGTCATCGTAAGGGAAGAGCAGCATCTCCCTTAAACAATCGTTTAGGATCTGTGTCTTTTTCTGGACGATGACATTTTCATAGTCAAGTGGCTCAATCAGCTTTGGCTTTGCCTGAAAGATGAAAGATAAGAACTTGAAACATTCTTACAGATACACGCAATGTCTTAAGATTAGAGAACTTTATAAATAGTTTTCTGCAATATAATTACAATTATAAATAAATACAAGTTTTCTACAATATAATTAGAGTATGTTAGTTTTGCTACCAGGAAGAATCAGAAACAGAGAAAAAGCTGTTTTCAAAGCAAAAGAAGATACTTCACGGCACTCTGTCTATATTCAGTCATGCTTGCTTAGCTATTTAAGCACAAAGGAGGCTATGGATTCTGGTGGAACTTCCAGTTGCGACTTGGATCACCCCTGGCTAGGTCAGTACCCCTCCAAGCCTCAGGCTCTGCCAGAGCTGTCCACTTAGGGCTCCAGCTATGTTCTGGCAGTGAAAGCTGGATGCTCCAACCATGACCACCCTTTCTTGGCTCAGGGCTTAAAGCATCCATAGGGCTCACTATTTCATATAAGACTCTATGGAACTCATCTCTGAGTCTCAAAATATCCCTGTCTATCCTGAAATATGTACAATGTAGATATGTAATACCTAAACACAGAAGAAACAGGCAAGCAGGGAGAGGGAAAAAGTACTACTTAAACCAGGGCTTATGGGTGAACCTCAGAGGTTAGTGATGGCCATTCCTGCCATGTACTGAGAAGAGGAAAGAGGCAGCAAGCAAGTGGGGAAAGAAAAGAGAAAATATGTCTTTTTTAATTATTCAAAAAGTTACTCTTCTAAGTAAAAACCTCTTATCTTTGCCAGTCATTGCCACGGTGTTTACTGATTACTTCTCACTTGCAGGGCACTAACTGGGCTAGGTCAGGGATATAAATACACATTCAACTAACTATAGCACAGTATGCCAAGTATTAAAATAGGTATACACACACAGAGAGCAAGATTATTCTTTTAAAGTATTAAAAAGCATACACACACACACACACACACGCATGCACACGACATCTGACATGTAGCACCTAAATTGTATATTGTGACTGAGGCTGTTACATGTTCCCAAAATCTGTCTTTTTTCCTTCTGAATCCAGCTGGACTACATTTCCCAGCCTCCCCATGGTTATGTGTAGTCGTATGACTGTCTTCTGGTAACTGGCATGTAAGTGGAAGATTTGTAGGAGTACACCCACTGTGTCCATCCACCCAATGTAATGACTCATGACACAAAAGTGAGCATGAGGGGCTGGCTACACTGCTATACAGAAAGATCCCAAGGTGCATGGCCCCAGAACTGCTTTGGGGTATTTGGGATAAGTTATTGCACAAACTGAGAATGCCCCCAAATCATACATCTTGTATATAAAAGAAACCTGATAGTTTTTGCAATCCTAAAAATTTGTGATGATACCTAATATTGTGAAGCTAGAAAAAACTTCCAAATTATGATTAATAAAATACAAATTTCAACTAATTATGCTACAGGAAAGAGTAAATGATCTATCCTTGTGATAAAAAATGGTAATACAAAATTATGACCATATGAAGAAGTGATCATAGTATGAAGCCAAAAAACTGTAGGGGGGGAAGTATTACTGAGTTGTATCAAGAGATTATTGGTTAAAATGTATTGTTTTCCTGTATTACTGACATTTATGGTTTGAGTTAACTTTTTAAAATTCGTCATTTGTTGTGATTTCTTCTCAAATTCCAAATATTCACTTCTGTATCTTATTTGCCATTGATAACTTTGAATCATTGTTCTTAAACAAGGCACCCAAAATTCTAAGCTTCATTGTTCACAAAACATGGACCTTCCCCAAAAAGGCCACAGATAACCACGTATCAATCAAATTTAATGTAGTAAAGTGATTAAGAAAGCTGAGCTGTGCAGTTATGTACAGCTGTTATTGGGTTCCACTGAGTTCCTGCCGGTAAAATGCTTCGCAGAGCTTGGCAAACTGTAAACATATAATAAATACTGTTATTTATTATTATTATTAAATGTATTGCTTGCATGAGAGTGATCTTAGAATTTTTTTTTTAGTACCCATATACGTTAAATTTTATGAATTTGTTTACAAAAACTTTATTGCACCCTCCAGGAACATCTGAAATAAAACAGGCAACAATGGCATGAGCATTCACAAAAGGCTGAAGACAGAGGAAACAGTACAAGAATAAATATAGATAACACTGGAATTCAGGAACTGAGCCCAAAAATAAGTGTAAATGGATGCATACATTATAAACTGAATTGAGGAATATTTAAAATTAGTGTCAGGAAGGACTGAGAAGAATAATAGGGGGACTCAAGGCATACAGAGAAGCACTTTAGACCCACTCTCATTAGGCAAGCTCTACAAGAACATCAGATCTAAGATTCTGGAGGAGGAGAGAGGACCAAGCAGTAAACCCCAAGGAACACTGCTCATCGAAGGTTATGTGGCAGAAGACAGAGACAAACTCAGCTGGGAGTCTAGGAGGCCAAGGACCAACAGATGGTTTTCTAACAGAGAATCAAAACCTTGGCTGCCATGGAGGAGACCCACAGGCCAGGCCTGAGGTCAGGGCTACATGATCAGAATGCTGGGGAGAAGGAGCTCCACCTCAATGGACAACATGCACATCGGTTAGCCCCTGATACTGAGGTCACACTGGCCCTCATCTCCTGGAAAAAGCAGTGACCACCACAGCAAATGTCCAGTGATCATGCGGGTCTCACAGGTGCCAAAGAGCATGATCCACGTGTCTTCCCATTAGCCTTCCTTTAAGGCTCTCTGAATTCATTCCCTCCTAGAAAATTTACTGCTGCAGGTCTGGTTGCTCAACATCCCTACAAATTGAAATTCCAGGTCTACACACAATCAGAAACCAAGGAATCTTCTTTGTGCCAGGAAAATGAGATTCCTCAGAAATCCAACAGAACTGGAAAGCCTCACTACAAATGAGTTCAATTCTGGCCAAACACATATGAAGCTGAGAAAACCATGGGAAAAGCTAAGCAAAAAAGGCTTACTGATTCTATTGCTCTTCCTGTTACATTACAGTATCCTGTGATCTTTCTAGTCATTTCTTGCCTTTTTGTCTCTAATAATTTATTTTTCCTTTTTTAAACTATATTTTATTATGTTATTACAGTTGCCCCATTTTTTTCTCCTTTCTGTTCTCCTCATCCCTATACCTCCCTCCCTACAGCAGTTCCCCCTCTTAGTTCATGTCCATGGCTCGTGCATATAAGTTCTTTGGCTTCTCCATTTCCTATACTATTCTTAACCTCCCCCCTGTAAATTTTGTGCCTACCAATTATGCTTCTTCTTCTCTGTTCCTTTTCCCCTATTTTTCCCCCTCCCCACTGGTTACCCTTCATGTGATCTCCATTTCTGTGATACTGTTCCTGTTCTAGTTGTTTGCTTAGTTTGTTTTCTTTTTTGTTTATTCAGGTTCAGTTGTTAACTGTGAGTTTGTTGTCATTCACTATTCATAGTTTTGATCTTCCTCTTCTTCTTAGATAGGTCCCTTTAACGTTTCATAAAATAAGGGCTTGGTGATGATGAACTCCTTTAACTTGACCTTATCTGGGAAGCACTTTATCTGCACTTCCATTCTAAATGATAGCTTTGCTGGATAGAGTAATCTTGGATGTAGGTCCCTGCCTTTCATGACTTTAAGCACTTCTTTCAGTCCCTTCTTGCCTGTAAGGTTTCTTTTCAGAAATCAGCTGATAGTCTTATGGGAACTCCTTTGTAGGTAACTGTCTCCTTTTCTCTTGCTGCTTTTAAGACTCTCTCCTAATCTTTAATCTTAGGTAATAATTATGATGTGTCTTGGTATGTGCCTACTTGGGTCCAACTTCCTTGGGATTCTCTGAGCTTCCTGGTCTTGCATGTCTATTTCCTTCATCAGACTGGAGAAGTTTTCCTTCATTATTTGTTCAAATAAGTTTTCAATTTCTTGCTCTTGCTCTTCTCCTTCTGAAACCCCTATGATTTAGAAGTTGGAACATTTAAAGTTGTCCCAGAGGCTTCTAAGCCCCTCCTCATTTTTTTTTGAATTCTTGTTTCTTCATTCCTTTCTGGTTGAATGTTTATTTCTTCCTGTAGTTTCAAATCATTGATTTGAGTCTGTTTCCTTCCCTTCACAGTTGGTTCCCTGTATATTCTCCTTTATTTCACTTTACATAGCCTTCACTTCCCTTGTTTTGCATCCATAATCAATCATTTCTGTGAGCATCCTGATTACCAGTGTTTTGAACTCTGCATCTGATAGGTTGGCTATCTTCTTGTCGCTTAGTTCCTTTCCTGGAGTTTTGATGTGTTCTTTCATTTGGACCATATTTCTTTGTCTCAGTGCACCTATTACATTATAAGAGGCAGAGCCTTAGGTATTCTCAGCTGTGTCATGGCACTGTGTGTGGGGGAGGGGTCAGAGTAGGAACAATGTCTCTTGCTTGGCTCTCAGCCAGCTTTCAGTCACTTCCCCTGCTACCCACAAAGTGGGACCTTCTAGTGGTGATTCCCAGGTAGGTGGGTTCGTGTACGTTCTTGTACATAGTGGGGCCCTCCAACGGACTCTCCTGTGAGACTGGGAGTTTCTCCTACCACCACACCCCCTAGAGATTTTTACAGCCAGAGGTATTGAGGCTTTATTTCTCCATGCTGGAACCCTGTATTGTGCAGTCTGTCTCACTCCCCAGTTGTTCCTCTTGGTTTATCTGCACACAAATGTGGGACTACGTGGTCCACCAGCTGCCAGCTTGTAATGTGTCCTCTCCACCCCAGCTTCCCATCTCTGCCTCTCCTACTAGTCCTGATGCATGTTTCTTCTTTAACTCCTTGGTTGTCAGGTTTCCATACAGTTGGATTTTCTGGCAGTTCTGGTTGTTTTTTTGTTTTTAAATTGGTTGTTGTCCTTCTTTTCATTGTTCGAGGAAGCAAAGTGTATCTACCTATGCCACCATTTTGGCCAGAAGGACTGTCTGTGATAATTTAATCAAATGTTAACACAAGCTGAAACCCCAAATGCCACTTCTTGAAATAACATACTAAGG